TGAACCAGAGCTTCCTCAACAATGAAAGTATTCAAGCTTGTATCTCTCTGTACAAAGATTAATGTACATGGATGTCTTACACCTCATGGCCCAAATCATGTGTCACCACACTGAAGCACTTACAGCTACTGCTCTTTAATCTCTTACTATTTTTCATATGAAAACTCAATCCTAAATCAAAGGTTAAAGTGGAAAGAGTTTCTTTTACTTCAGATAGTACAATAAAGACAAACAGCACAGTATAGTCTGGAAGACCCACCATCAGCACTTGGAAGCTAGTAGTGCTTTCCTCCCAACAGAAAAGACAAAGATTAAGACCAAAGTTCTTCATTGTGCTGAAGATCTTAATTTCTAAATGGGCAATCAGCCCAATGATACAGGAAAATATTGCATATCACATTCCTGTATCTGCATACACATTTCCACTGTGGGAAAAATCAGTGTGTGAAGAGACATTAGACATGGTGTTATGAGACATTTGCCATTACATCAATACCTAAGCAAACTATGCACGTGTTTTAACTTATCTTTATGAGATGTAGATCTTAACATCGCAAAATGGAAAACTGCATAAAATAGCTTGAAAACATCAGGCATAATGTTTTTACGTATCTCTCTGCTGATTGACTGAAAAAGCCTAACACCCCCTGAACATCCAGAAACAAACACAAAAATCAAGACAAAACCATAATCTAAATAAACCTGCAGGCCACATGACTCACAATTTGGCAGTCAACTACAACAAGCTCAGTAAGAGTGACACTGCTGAAGGCTTAGCTACAATTGGGAAAATTGACTGGTTGGTCAACCTGGTGTCATTTACGTTTCATCCTTCAAACGATGACCAGACAAATGTTGATATATGGAAATAGCACTCAATTCAATTAGACAGGCCTAGGAAGCACGGCACAAGGAGGAGAGATTTCAACACTGAATACTATGAATAATAAAGACAGAATAAATAATCATTCTGACCAAATGTGAGAATTCTGACATTTAGGAAAGGAACTATATCAACCATAAGAAGCCAGTATTTAGTTACACAGAAAATACAGCTGGATCACGTAAAATGATAAGCCACCCAAGACTGCCCAACAATGGCCTTAAGGCCAGGCATGCCCTGCCTGAGATGGCAAGTGTATGGATCCAAATCTTTTTCATTCCTAACACAGAAATGAAGACATTTTTCAATTAAAACTAATAGCAGATAAGAGCTACCAACAATTCTCTCTTTGTATTTGTGGGTGGCTAATCTAGAATTTGTGCTATTGTAATTAACATCAGAACTGGGAACTACTAGACATCTATTTTATCCAAAAAATTACAAATGAAATACTCTCTTCAATGTCAAATAATTGTCAAGAAATCTTCCACAGCCAATATTTCTTCATAGAGCAATAAATGCTGGCCATCTCACAGTCAACTCATTAAAGAGCTGACACTTTAATTTGTGCTATCAATAGTGTCCTGTTGTGTTTTCTAACAGAGAGAGAACACAGCCTTCCCAATCGAGAGTCAGAACAAATCATGCACACTGCTGTTCAGTGACCTATCATTGCTAATATAAGGAAGAATGCATACGAGCTTTCATCGGTATTTTGCCAATTTCCAGCGTTACACAGTGTAGCCACTGAGGGATTTTTATTCTTCCTACATTTGGGACCCGCTGCTTAGTGGAGGTCTGTCCTACAGGCAACTGAAAAATGGGATGCCCAAGACAGACAAAGAATAAATATGTGACAGAGAATGCAGTAACTTCAGCTCTCTGCTTGTTCTCTGAAAGCCAACAGTAGGAATCTACAATGAATGAAGACAGTCTACTAAATAATTTATGACATACAGCCTACTTCTAAATGATTTTTTTCCCTGTTAGATGTGCATTAGCATATGGGAGCCTAACATAAGGAAGATCTTATCTGGTCTCAGAAAGAAAAAATTTCCCATCCACAACATTACTTCAGGTTAGACCAGAGCTTAAATTACTCTGAGATGATGCTACCACCTTCTAAGGAAGTCTCTAATCTGCTGAATCACAGCTTGGCGTTTGAAATATATCCTTGAACAATCATTATACCAACATAGGCTTCACCTATTACATTCACTGTTTGCATCTCAGCAGACTACTCCATAAAAAAAATGGCATTATAGAGTGTTAGCTTATTCCCAGTTACAAAAGTTTCTAATCTCAGGGAAAACCTTCAGCTAAGACTATACTCTGTATATAAAAATAGCATGCTTTATCTTTACACAAAAATCCCATTCCCCCAGATTTCAATAGATTCCTATGGACCATGCAAAATGCCACAGACCACAGAAGCTACAGTTTTGAATGGATGCTTTTATTGATTTATCAAGCATGAACAGATTTTTTTGTTAAAAAATGTCCAGATGAATACCATTCATAGCAACTTGTTTCCTCATAGTCATACAGAATACGAAATAATTCAAGAAACAAGCAAAAAAGAGCACCTAATTAGTATCATTCTGTGTATATATGCATGTACGTATATACACACATTGCACTACATCTGTGCTTATACTGTTGTGTGAATACCCATACATCCACACATGCATATACATATGTATACACACATACACAAACATATACACACAGAGAGTACTCACTGAACTAACAGTCCAATGTAGCAATGTGGCCTAACTCCAAATGAAGTATTCTGTGTTAAAATATAAATAATACAGAAAGGCATACAGATAAAAGACCATTCATTTTTTACTTTCACCAAAACCATGACCTGCCTTTGAACACAGTGTCTTTAAAACGAAAATATGCGAGATCACTGGAGATCTTTCCAAGTTCATGGTGTTAACTACATCCAGCTCGATCACTGCTAACATTGTATGGCCAAGCACTGAAGAGTGTTTTCAATTTGTTCACTATGAAATCAGCTTCTAGATTTAATATTTCTAGGGAAAGAGGAGGCACATGGCCTTGCTATTTGTACTGTGGTAATACATACTTTCCTGTTGGGCAGAAACTTGGCAAAAATTCTAAATTAAGAGTCCCTTCATCCTGTACATTTTTATCATTGCTTTCACCACTCATCTCCTGTCAATTCATTATAATAATTTTCATGCCATCTCAACTATCTTCCAAACATTCCAGGCCGACTCATCCAGATGTGCAACAGGCTGTACTGGTAGCAATGTACTCAGATGCAAATGTAATTTCTGAGGATTTACTTACTTTTTCATTTTTGAGCATATTCTTTTCTTTGCTACTTAAGACACAACAATAAACAGTGCAGTACACTGACACTGCATGTACGAACTTTCCTGTATTTATGTCAACTCTGGAAAAATCGGTGGTTCTTGCCTGTGAACCATGGGATACTGTCATAGCAAAAAGCCACATGCATTACCAGCAACGTACTGTCACACTTTCTCCATTTGAGTAATCAGCTAGTAGAGCGTGTAAAGGCAAACCAAAGGAACAAAGACTGACATTTATTTCCTATTAAAAAAGGGAAAAATCAAACTCCGTATGCGTGTATGTATTCATTACCAAGTTCATAAGTTTTCTACATCATCATAAGGCAAACTGTAGTACAGCTTTGTACCTGCAGAATCAATATTTTAAAAATCTGAAGCTGAGTTTGGGACCATTTTATTTTGGACCCATTAGTGAACAAAGTGCATTAGGGCATCCTTTTCAAAAGACACCTAAGCATGGTTATAAGCTACTGAACAAATATTTTCTTGAAGTTGGTATTTATACTCCTTCCACACAGGCAGATTTTCACCACTTGAACAGTAACAATAAAACACTATAAGAAGACCATTCTTTTAAAGTTGTCATATGCCTGAAACATCTCCCAAAATGATCATTTATAAACAAGTACTGTAGTAATTACAAAAGACTTCTACCTCGTAGAAGGAAAAGTGAAAAAATGCACCTGATTCAGCTTTGAGATAAAATAGGTGCAACTTCTATTGACTTCATTGAAGTTCATCCACCAACACCTACATGAATGTAGAGCCTGCCTGTGCAGATTCCTACTATTCCTGAAAATTTGTTTAGTGCTCATTCACAAAGAGAACTGTTCTTTCCCAAACAGCTCAAGACAATTATAATTATGAACAAACTCCAGCTGCAATGTTTCTCCATACAGCTCATGCAAAACAGATTTCCTTGCTTTGTTATTACTACATAATGTACAACAATGAAACATTTGTATTTAATTTAAAACCAATGGTAAGGTGGCTCATGTCTCACTTCCGAGTTATTGGCTGTGCTTGCTGTGTTGAACCTTGTAAAATCAGCAATAAGCATTCATGTGTCTACCATCAGAAACGCAATGTCTTCCATTACAATCAAACCTTAAATGTTGCAGTGTTTTGTCAAATTAGTCTACAGCCAGACCTTGGGGTGGCTCCTCTCCTCCAGCGTTGCCATTTCAGAGATGGTATCAGTCTTTAACGTCCTCAATGACTCTACAGTATTTCCCAAAGACGAAAGTGAAACTGACAGATGGGAATGTTGTCATCAACAAAATAAATCACCACATGATTTATGCACTCAGATTTCTAGAAGATATTCCACATGTGTTTTGCAAACAGAGAATGCACTGCCCTGTGAACAGAAGTAAATTAAACTTTCTTTTGCTGTGTTGGCTAGCTCTACTTCTTTAGTTGTTTATTTTTATTCTTTTTGGTCTGCACATTCCCATGTGCAAGGTAGAAATTATGAGATTTTGCATTCAATAAGATCAGTAATGATTACTAAAATTGGCATGAATAAAACCAGCAGTATACTGACTTGTCCACCACTGCACACTTTTATCCTTCCAATTTCCTGCCTTTATCCACTGTAAAATAAAATAATGTAATGAGCTGATGAAACCTTAATGAATGTGATCATCGATGTGCAAAACAAATAAGTCATTTTTCAGGTATCCAAACCAGGCTTTCTCTTCTCTCTCTCCCCTTTCTTCCTTTCTTCTTCTTCCTCTTCTTCTTCTTTTTTTTTTTTTTTTTTTTTTTATAAATAATTTATAAATCTTCCTGAAAGGGACTAAATGCAAAACAAAACAAAAGCAACTGCAAAAAGAGTTCTAAGGTATTATTAAAGCAAATTCTTGTCCTTCTCCATATAGTACTCAGAAAAGAGAGATCTACCCCTTTTCGGTTCTGGCTGGTTTTGGCAGCAACAACTGAGATGCCACGCAGTCCACCAGCTCCAGGCAAGCTCCTGCAGGCAGCTGCCCTGGGAAACACATCCCCCTACTTGTTAGCTTTTAACAGTCATGCCAGCTGCTCAGAGGAGTCTAAGTGATCAGGGATGGGCAAGCCTGTTATAATGGTTAAACACTTATTCCACACAGTGAATGTGGGGCATACGGGCTGCCCAAATGTAATGTCAAAGGTGTAAAGGTGCAGGGAGTTCAAGGCATCATAAAAAGCAAGGGAACCATTGTCATAGTCCAGCAAAATGCCGACCCGGCGGAGATGAGGTGCAGGCTCTATTGGGATTTCTTTGCTGTTGTGTCTCACCACCCAAGTGTTGTTGCAGCGGCACAGCACCCAAGAGGCAGAGTTCTTCCCGATCCACTCATGCTTTGGTGCTGACTTGTATGAAATACCGATGGCATACCTGCAAAACAAACACAGCTCCGGAAAGCAAGTGCCTCTTGTCATGCCTGTGTGTCAGAGTGTCAGCCCAAAGGAATCACCGAGGCCTTGGTCTCTTATTTGTGCTGACTGAATTCTAATTAAGTGAAGTTGCAACATAATCTTGGCACAGAGTTAATTTATGTTTTTCCCATCTCTTTTCATTCTGAGAGGTCAGAAAAACTTTACTGTTCTTCGCATTGTTTGTAGTTTGGCTGCTATGGTAATTTTTTGGAGCATGCATCTCTGGTATTCAAAGGGAAAACTGTTTAGTACTCAGGAACTTTAAATCACTGAGCCTCATATTTCCACTTCTAAACAGATGAGCACAGAGGAATTCATTGATTTTAAAGTACTTTGCTGTCTGTCATTTAATCTGATCTCTTGTTGCTCCTATAATATATAGACCAGAAGGAGGAACATAGGAATCAACATCAAAAGACACATTAAAAAAAAAAAAAAATTGCCATTCCCAAATATGTTTTGCCAGATGTTGGTGTGGTTTTTAGATTCAAATGAGCATTTTTTGGATGGGGTATTGGGCCAAGTGAAGCATTTGTAGGTGAAGACATTCGCTCTGCAAACCATAATTTATGGCAAGATGTGCAAGGTAAAAGGATTGTGAAAATGTTCCCATTAATGGATATCCACGACAAGTACCTGATTTCTCATATATTAAAGAAATGCTAAAGTTCCTCACGTTTTAGAGACACTGAAGTATTTGTTGTTATATGTTGTTGAGCTTTCAACCAACAGAGATTAATGTGCCACAAGTTATTCTGCTTTCTTGCCTTGGAGTTGGCACAAGCACACAATATTTTTCTTGTTTGAGACACTGGGCATATCTGAAGACCTCACTGATTTTCTGCTCCATTAACTTCCATCAAGACTGCTGCCTTTGAATCTCAAAGGATAACATCTCTTATACTGACTAAAGGGACCTTGAAACCCAGCCCTGTGTTGCACAGAGGATCATTCAGAAACAGATAAATACACTCTTTCATTTATTGTCTTTACATTCAAACCCTAGGGCACAGACCTAGCACCACTGCTCCTCACCCTTTCCTCAGAATTTCCACCACTGTGAAGTTGGATTGTCTAATTAGCCTCATATTCTGTTTCTGTTTTGCTTTGAAGGGGCAAAACAGAAGGGCAGTAACATCTTTCATATTCAGTAAAGAGATATCACACGTATAAAGTTCACTCTGTTACAGAAAAAAGATGAAATTTCTTAGCTCTCCATCACACTAAAATCTTAAAATGTATGTTCCGTAGGTTCAAAAACCAATCAGCCTCAATAACAAAGGAAAAGTTCTGTGTGGGTTGCTAAATATAAGTATGCTCTATCTGCCAGAATAAGTTCCAGAGTCTGAGAGTGCTGGAGTTAGGGAAAACAGTCTGACAAACTGTAAAAATATACGCTTGTCCTGCTTTTGAACCATTCCTCAGGTCTCAGTTATTGATCTCCATGAGAGGAACGGTGCTGAGGCCTTCATGGGCCTTTGGTGTGAACCAATGATTCTCATACATATTTTTATATACATACCACGTACTGCCACTTATAACCACTTCCCAGTAATGCCGTCCGCTGTCAATGAACACATTGCCAGCTACTCCGTAGCTCCCTTGGCTCGTGAATCGCTCTGGTGTATGACTCTTTTTGGAGGAGGTTTCATCACGTTCCACTGTCAGGTTGTCATGAGACACTTTCAGTTTTCTATGAGCAGATTTGGGGTCCAGTTTAAATGGCTGACCTAGATACACAAAGACAAAGGTAGCAGGAGAACAATTTGTCTTTAATTTTAAAAAGAGGAGTTGATAGAAAGCATAAGAAAGAAGCATACAAGATTACATAATCATATTAATCTCCTTCTCTGAAGTGTTCTCAAGACAGACTGATTTTGCTCTCTGCACTAGCTGGTTTGCATTGCCAGTTCATTGTCAGTCTCATTGTGCACTAACATCCCTGTGTTGACAATCTCTGAAAAGAGCCCTGCATAATCATCATGCCTATTACTTCTGACCTAAAGGTAACCTGAACGCTCTAATTCTTGCATGTAATTGAAACCAATATACATGTTAATAAAGGTCTGAGGGTTGCTTTTTTCACAGCATATTAGATTTAGAATGTTACATTCTATTAATTCCCTAGGGATAAAGTTCCATAATAACATTTTCATCATTGCTACAAAAAAGTGTTATTTTCAAATCCCACAAAATGAATTTGAAAGTAAGAAAAAGCATTAGCCTTGTCTGTTCCTTCACTCACAGCTTTATTTATAACAAGCACAGTCAACAATTCAGGATCAGTTTTGGAAGGATGCCTATGTGGTGCTGTCCTGTTGGATACCATGCATTAATAAAAAGAAGGAAGTGAACTATAACTTGGTCCAGATATTATGGTGTAAAAACACTGCTGAGGTTGTTGATCTTGGCAAGTCTCTTCAGCTGTAGCACAGTGCTTGCAGACAATATCAGGAAACTTTTTGGTAAACCAAACCCTGTAGATATGTAAAGACTGCCACAATTCTGATCAATGAGCTTTGTGTGTTAATAAGCAGGGTGATTGCTTACCTCCACAAAGGTACAGCTAGAAAACTATGACTCTATGTGGGCTCCATCAAAGCCCTTTCCCCTTCTTATTGTCTTTCATATCAAGGAAGAAGTATGTAAGCAGAAGATTTGATTGCATGCATAGAAAATAGATATGAGCACTGTCATGAGGTCTGTGACCCTCTGACACTGACAAGTGAATTTCAAATAAGATGTAAATTGCTCAGTGTTTATGAAGGAACAGTTAAGTACATTTCATGAAGTGAAACTGAAAGCATCAGTGTGGGAATATGAAGAAATGAAATTCCTCTGAATAGGAAGTCAATATGCACTGATTCCAGATCTCCAGGAAACCGGAAAATGTAGAAATTTCAAGTGAAAAATGATGGATGCGATACTAATTCTCAGTAAATATTACTATAGGTAAGTGCAAAATTATATAAGAAGTATTTCTAAAGTTATAATCTACTTTCATAATATTTATTTATTCATTCATTATGTTTAAGTATGAAATAAATACATTGAATATTATTTGGGAGTGCATTTTGAAATCTTTTTCTTACTATTGGATAGGAGTAAAACATCCGCAAGCTGCCTCCTTAGCTGGTTAGTAGCCTTTGTGTCACTGAAGTAGTATCTGAAGCATATCTTTCTCTGTACTGAACTGTATCTGCATAGACCCCTTCTCACAGTCACCTGAGAGATTTCTTTTGTGCCACACTGGGTCACAAAAAGAGAAAAGGATGAAAGACTGTCATTTCCAGTGGGTCTTCTTATGTGTTACCAAATGCTTGGTAGCAGATACGTGGTTTGTACAAGCAGGACACAGGAATGCAAGCCAGGTAAATAGACCCCGAAGTGGTACGTGCCGTTCTCTGCACCCTGCTTCTTGCAACACTGAGTTATCAACCCTCTTTGAGCATCCTCCCCCTCAATAAGCAGGTTTCAGAGGGTGCACAAACCCAGTGTTCAATTTCCCGAGATCAAAGCTGTTTATGATGACCAGAGGACTGAGGGGTTGTTGGCCAGGACACAAGAAAAAGGCTGAAAACCAGTCTTAAAATTACCCTACTACATCTGCTAATAATTTGTGCAACCACTTTTTTTTTGAAGTGGGATCTCTAACTACTCTACCACCCCACTGAACACCATAAAGAAATGAGGGGAATGCAGCTAAAGAAGTTTTCCAGTGTCCTAAGAAAGATCATTCTGGAGAATAAAATTAAAGTAGCAATTATCTTATGAACACGATACAAAACTAAAATGTTTTACTGCAAACACAAGGAAAGGTTTTACTTTGTAGAGGAAAAAGAATAGATAGGACACTAAAACAAACTGCAAAATAATATTTTCAATCATTTCATATATGAAGGCTCTGTTCCTAAATGTTATTTCCAGTGACAAGAGTACAGATGCTTTTCTGAACAGAAAGTAATTTCTGCAGTAGTGGAGACACTGGCAATCTTGAATCAAGTTAAATAAGTGGCTTTCACTGTGGGAAGCACTGTAAGTTAATCTGCTCTACACTCACGTGTCTTTCAAAGACCAAACCTAAAAAGGAGAAGAGTGTGTGTGCTGGATTTCACATTACTCACTGTTTGTCTTGAGCTTGCCTGGCTCACTGCTTCTGCTGCCAGCCTGATTAATGGCCTTAACAATGAAGATGTACTTTGTGCCACTCTGTAACCCATGCACGGTGTAGTGGTTTTGTTTGATATTGGGAACAATCATCCAGCTGTCGGCTGAGTTACATAAACCTGCAATTTCAAACCAAGCACATTAGTCATAACATACTAGACATTTTGTAAGAGGGGAACATTTAAAGCACTCCTGAGCATCCAATCACTGATAAAAAATTCGCTTTTCTACCTTTTAAAGTGCTATTTTATTCACTGGGTTGCTACTTAATTCTACTAAGGCATTTCACCAGCATTCAGCCAAAGTACCTTTTAACTTCTTGCTATATGAAATTGACCATAAAAAAATAGGCATTTAAGAAAAGACTCACTGGAGGCATGAGCAACCTGGGAATTTTCATATCACAGAATCACAGAATCACAGAATCACAGAATTGTAGGGGTTGGAAGGGACTTCCTGAGATCATCGAGTCCAACCCCCCTGCCAAAGCAGGTTCCCTACACCAGGTAGCACAGGTAGGCATCCAGGCAGGTCTTGAACATCTCCAGAGAAGGAGACTCCACCACCTCCCTGGGCAGCCTGTTCCAGTGCTCCGTCACCTCACTGTAAAGAAGTTCTTGCGCATGTTTGTGCGGAACTTCCTATGCTGCAGTTTCCGGCCGTTTCCCCTTGTCCTGTCTCCACTCACCACTGAAAAGAGTCCGGCCTCGCCATTCTGCCCCCCACACCTTAGATATTTATAGACCTGGATCAGGTCCCCTCTCAGTCTCCTTTTCTCAAGGCTGAACAGACCCAGTTCACTCAGCCTTTCCTCATAGGGGAGATGCTCCAGGCCCTTAATATCGTAACACAAGGAATTCTTTATTGCTGAAGGATCGAGTGCTATGGAGATCCTATCAATCTACCTTTTGGATTAATTAACTCAAGCTTCAAAAAACTAACATAAACAGTAATGCTAGGAGGGCTGTGGAACCTTTTCTGACAGACATGCATTCTTTAGGACCTGAAGGAAATCATGGGAAGCCAAACTAGGTAAATGATCACCAGAGCAAGCTTCAGCTTCTACACTCCAGACTTTGCTAGGATATAGCTTAACAAGTAAGTTTTATTGATGCAACTTTTTGATTTCTTTCCCATGGTTAAATGTTAGCTGGGGAAGAGCTAGTTAATTTTCTATTTAGAAATATACCGTTTGGGATATATTTACTTCTTATCACACAAGTATAACATGTAGGAAATAAATAAAACATAATCTGCAATATCATCTGCAAAATAGAAGAATACTCCATTAATACGAACCGATTCAACTGCATGCATCTTTCCTACTGTGACATAAACCATAAGAATTTCAATAGGGCCAAACGTTGGTCCTGCAACCCTACAGGCTTGGGGAGGAGTGGCTGGAAAGCTGCCTGATGGAAAGGGATTTTGGTGTACTGATGGACATTCGGCTGAATATGAGCCAGCAGTGTGCCCAGGTGGCCAAGAAGGCCAATGGCGTCCTGGCTTGTATCAGGAATGGTGTGGAGAGCAGGACTTCGGAAGTCATCCTGCCCCTGTATTTGACATTTGTGAGGCCTCAGCTCGAGTACTGCGTTCAGTTTTGGGCACCTCAGTACAGAAAGGAGATTGAGGTGCTGGAGCAGGTCTAAAGAAGGGCAACAAGGCTTGTGAAGGCCTTGGAGAATATGGCCTACGAGGAGAGACTGAAGGAATTGGGGCTGTTTAGTCTGGGGAAAAGGAGGCTGAGAGGAGACCTTACTGCTCTCTTCCAATATCTGAAAGGTGCTTACAGAGAGAGTGGGGCTGGTCTCTTCTCACTGGTGACAGGTGACAGGATGAGGGGAAATGGCATGAAGTTGAGCCAGGATAAGTTTAGGTTGGATATCAGGAAACACTTCTTTACAGAAAGGGTTGTTAAGCACTGGAATAGGCTCCTTAGGGAGATGGTTGAGTCACCATGCCTGGATGTGTCTAAAATACATTTGTATGTGGTGCTCAGGGACATGATTTAGTGGAGGGCTGTTACAGTTAGGGTAGTATGGTAAAGTGCAGTTGGACTCGATGATCTTGAAGGCTTTTTTCCAAATTATGATTCTATGGTTCTGTAACCTGAGCTGTTCTATGATTCCATTCTTTAACTTTCGTGTCAGTGAGTCACCTGTATTATTCACTGCACATTTTCAACAGCTCCTAGTCTAACGGATCCTCAGTCTGGTAACTCTTTTGTTATAAATGTTGAAATAAATCTAAGTTTACATTAACAAAATACATAGATGTTCACCATCTTTTTTTCTAGCTATACAACTAGAAAAGGTATATGCAAATTAAAGTATATGAATCTGTGTAGATGCATAAGGCTGGAAAACGCAAAGGGAAAAATTCATGACAAACTTTGCCTTGACAGGGCATGGAAAAAGTTGTGGATGCAAATGTACTATTAAACTAGTTTTCAGCTTTTAATCTGGTTGGTTTTTTTACCAGCAAACCAACAAGAGGATCTTTAAGAAGCCACCAGTACTTTTAGTTCACATTTTAGCCAATCTAAAATCTTTATGTCATGAAAAAATTAAAAGGCTAACACAAAATTTTAAAGAATACGTGCTGTGATACTGGCTTACAGACTCATCAAAAATTCATCGCCGTAACTAAAAGACTCCTTCCTAATTTGGAATATACTTTTCATAATAAAAGGTCATGAGAAATAGAATTTAAAACCCAGATTTCAAGCAAAAATTATGAAACATTACTCTCAAAGTTCTCTCATATTATATGACATTGTTGAGATGTAAGCAAGTTATTCATCCTGTGAATAAGTAATTGAGGCACAGCTTCAGCGATTCATATCATCTTGTCATGTAATTGAAGAGCTGCAATGTCTAACCTATGTTTTGTAAACTGTGGTGAGCCAGGAATCAGTCCACCTCTCTAGATGTGAACATCCTAAAAATGCTTCTCTTTAAAATGCTAAATGCTAAAAATGCCTTCTCTTTTTGGCCTGAAGGAGAAGGCTTAGGTGAGATCTCTAACTTTAGGTAGCTGAAATAAAGTGAGATGAATCCATCCACCATTGATTTGAAACCCAGAAGTCTGATCTTGAGGTTGAACACACATCTGTGTTTTTGAACTATCTTATTAACAAGCTACAATCAAGTAAGCTTTATCCAGTTTTTCATTTGTTAAGATCAGACCTGGAGGGACAGACAGTATGCAACTTTTCTCTAGGTCCCTCTGTCTCATCAAGAATATCACTTTTTTTGGTGTTAGGTAGCATTGAAATGAACTGCAAGTATGATTTACTGCAACAAAAATATTTATTTGCTGTTGTTTTATTTAAAACAGCTTCCTGTTTTAAAGCGGAAAAAAGATTCTAGTTTATTGCTTATTCTCCAGCCAGTCAATATCCTGAACATATGTAGCCTCGTGTTAACTACAAAGGATTCAAATAGCTTCAAACAGCTGGGTATGAATGGGTTTCCTAAAAGGAAGAGTGGAAATAAAAGCAGCAGTATGTAAATATGGCAAAAAATATCTCAATGACTACTTATCCCAGTAAAAATTTAACACAGATTTTAGAGTAAAGGTATACTCTTTCTATAGCTGAACTACCACATAGATTTTGCACTAAGGCCATTCACCTGGCTCAGTGGTGCTATCGCACAATAAATATTAAGCTAAACTAAAGTGAACTGAAACACTTGATTCAGAAAGAAACCAAGATGACTAAGGAAGGAATCCCTAACTTAGATGCTTCTGATGGAGTATGAAATAACATCAGTAAGTCTGTAAATGCGATGAATCGTAGAATCATCGTAGAATTATAGAATGGCCTGGGTTGAAAAGGACCACACTGATCCTTGAGTTTCAACCCCCTGCTATGTGCAGGGCACAGCCAGACCAGGCTGCCATTCTCCATTCTCTCATCCCAAGTATGTGAACTTACACACACACAATATCCATTATCCTTCAGGTACACAAGAATAAGATATTATATTATTAAAAACCCTAGCCAGTAGTTAGATTGCTATGTACATCCATAACCTTAATCATCTTATGCGCTTCTACATCTCGCTGCTGAGGCCTGAAGGCAAAATGCTCACAGGCCTAGATTCATCCCACTTGGCAATGAACAAAGAGCAGAGCTCGTGAGTTAGGACTTTATCTACCCTACAATCTCTCCACAGTCAGAAGAGAGAGATGGGAAGCCTCTGTTCAACGTGGCTCATTTGCTAGTGGAAGTCTCTGTTATTTCAAAAGACACAAAACACACTGGATTTCTTTGTCCCTCTTCTCTTAGGACTCTCAGGCAATTACTGGTGAATGCACACTGTCTAACTTAGTTCCTTTGCTGCTCCAACAAGCTCTGTGCATGCCTCCACAACCGTGGGTCCGCGTGCTTCCTGGCTGTGAGCTACTTGATAACAGGTTTCTAGTTGAACATTGACTCAGGCATTCTGGGAATGAATTTTTGACGATATCAAATGAGAAGTCCACAATTTTTCAGGGTGGGGAATAGTAACTAGTGACAGCCAAATTAAGCTTTTAGGTATGAAAGAATATTTTGTCACTACACCAAAAGGTTTTCATCTCCTGTTTTGCCCTATCAGAACAATGTTTCTTCTTCGAATACAAAAGACAATGGCAGAACGATCAGGGAAGTGAAGAGTGCAGCCTGCTAACATGGGCATCTGGGGGTAACATTTGCATGCTCAGCTCCCTGCTGCTGGCAGCAGGCTAAGTGAAGCACACATCTTCTCCTCACTGGTGCATCAGCAAGAGCTAAGGGTTTACTATTATACCCAGTCTTGATCCAGGTGAAATTCAGGTTTCTTGTTTCACAAACGCTGGGCTTTTTATAGGATTATACAGGTGGTAAAATGATGTATTTTAAAACTGTAAAAATGTAGAGAATTCAAATTACATCCTGGAATGGTGCAGTGAGCGCAGTGATGTCTCATACAGGATGTGTGAGTTTTCAAAATAAGTTTCTCAGAATCTGGAGGTAATAATTTGCAAAGCTTTTTCCCTGGTGTTGGTTGTTTATGTGCTTTAAAGAACAGATGGGAAAATTCCCAAGGTGTTAATCCTCCTAAAATTTACACTGGGAGATTTTAATAAAATATATCTTCCTGAAAACTACAAGCACAAAAGTCATGGGAAGGTTATTTAATCTTTTGAGTATTTTAATTATGTTTAAATGCTTTATTTAAATAAATTATTACAAATTCAAATTGGTAAAACAAATACAGTAGGTGAAAGCAACAGATAGCTCTCCACCCCTATCCCACATTCCCATGTGAATGAAAAAACATATGCAGGATTTCTGCAAAACATACAGAGATTTTTTTTCTTCTTTCTCCTAGAAATACACTCTTTTTGTATCTTTTTAAGAGGCAGTTTTCTGCCTTGATTTTGTGTCATACTCACTGAAAACCTCAGTAACATTTTGAAAATTGTATGCAATCTGTTTTTAAGAAATTAAAGCTTCCAGAAAGAGACAAAAGATAGTAGATTAAAAAATTCATTGATAAATCACAAACCTTTCAGGTAAGCATGAACTCCTAATTATCTCAGGACAGTTTTGTCAACATACCTTTATCCTATCTCATTGGAGAAGTAATCACAAAACACAGGGAATGTTTTGATGCTACACTGCATCCTCAGTAGAGCGAATTTTCCTATTTTGCCAATGTAACTAACATAAATTCAATTTAACAGAAAATAGAATTATTTACTCTTTTGTGTTTTGGAGAGCCTTATGTGTTTTTCCTAAAGTTGTCTTTGTTACCGATAGTGAAAAGCTGGATGTTTAAATTTTAAACCTCCTGCAGAACAGTAAAAAAGCTTCATGATAAAAAAATGCCAACTCAAAAAATACTGGAAAATTTATTGAAATCAGATATTGAAATCATAATGCACATTAACTAGCTAGTGACAAAGTCATTTATAAAGCCTTTACAACATTCAGAGTGCAAGTACTAGATGCCTCTCAGAAAAGCAAATGTGTGAATACAGCTATGAGAACTACTGTGTTAGTAAAAGGCTGCGTGATTTAAAGTTCTATATTGCTCTAATGCACAGAACAGTGCTGCCAAGCACTAATAGCCAAGCAATTTGGCCACATTTGGAAGTAATCTTTCCTGTATGAAATAGGATTCAAAATGAAATACTCCAGTTGGACCTTCTCCACCAAATGTTAACTCTCCAATTTTTCAGTTAATAAAAAAGAATATAGTTGATTATGTTGGATAGAGAATACATTAGAAAAACATAGCATTGCTTGTTTTCGTTACTGAATTCTCAGCAATCTCTGAATGATATATGCCTCTGGTGGGGGAAATTTACTGAGGAGTGGAAAGTGCAGTCAGTCTGGCTCTGTGGTTTTAAGAAATGGATTCCAAAATAACAACTTCCATTAGCACAGTAGGTGGGTTTGTATGCAAAGTGATTCCTATTGTCTCAAGGGAAAAAAAAGCTCATTGGCTTAATACAGTACTATAGCTACTGCCTTGTGACTAATTCATAGCTATAGTAACACAGAACTGAAGATGATCTATGAACCTCTTTACATTACCTACTACAGGGAACATACAATAGCAATGGAAACTTTTGGGGATATGACATAGAAAATTAAAAAAATATATGTGCCACAGCATACAAATGCCATACACAGAAAGAAATTTGTGTTAATCTAAACTCTATTTCATTTAAACGACTAATTAAAAGCTATCTTCAGTTCATCAAAACATCAAGATTTCAGCGTAGAGCATGTTAACTCCACTTACAGAGAAAACAGCTTTGTTATTTCGCACTACTGAAGTACATCCCAATATCCTAGGGATGATCTTAGATCCTCACGCAGGGCAAAGAAAATAATCGAGATAAGTGAAGAAACAACCAAGCAGTTCTATGAATAAAATCATGTTAGTGGGCAAAGCTCCAGTACCAGTGGAAGTTGGAATAAACTGTGAGAGTCCTCTTTATTAGGAATTTGGATAGACATTTAGCAGACCTATTAGACTTGAGGAGTCCAATTCTTTCACTGAATGCGTTCGACTCCACATTAAATAATGATAAAGAAAGTCTGACAATATTTAGAAAAACCATCCACTTTTATACGCTTGTATTTAACTTGGATTAAACTATAGCTTTCAATGAAATTGAAACCAGTAGCCAAGATATTTATGTAGGAGCTAGCTGCAGTTAAGAAACAAATAAACATGTCAGCCAATCCTTTCATTTCTTTCTCCTTCATTTCAGCTCTTCAGAAAATTTTATAAACGAAGTTTCTTTCCTCTTCAAACTTCTAGTGGCACCATTTTTTTTCAAAATGATACAATTTAAGTTCAGATTGCACACTGAGTAATTCATGCTATAACCCCCAAATTATCATATTGCATCTCTGAAAGAAAACTAATTGATTGTTTGGCAGATCAAAGCCTTCACACACACATGGGAAACCTACAGTTCAGTCTCAAAGTGAAATACCTTGTTATTTATTCACTTTAAAGCAAGGAGTAAAACCTCATATCATAAAGGTACAGAAATGGCACTTTTCTATTCATGTATAGAAGCAATAGCTGACTTGCATAAAGTCTTCTGGCATAAAGCCATAGACAAAAATAGGTCAGAAACAAGCAATACGCTGCATTAAGTCATGGTGTCCTGTCTGCTTAACGGACAGATTAAACAGGGAAGCTTTTATTTCCTTATATATCTGATTGTAATGTGTTCCAAATTACTATTACACTTTTGGTATCTACCTTGCTCAGGTCTAGGAGCATGTACTGAATTTTACTTGGTCTTTCCAGCATTCTTAAATTTTACCATTGCCCTAAATTAGGTTGCTTAGTGAAATATTAAATTGAAGTTTAAACAAAACATTAATCAGTTTTTCAATGGTCCTCTTTATTTTTCATTCAATCCTGAATACCATTTGTGGTATGCAACCTAAAGATACTGCTAAAATGCTAGCATTTGAATCCTCAGATATGCTTTCAGATGCCTTGGAAAACTAATTCCAATTTAGTGATGGAGAAAATTAGGTGCTCACAGCAGCAGTGGAGTTAGCACAAGAGTTTGGCTCAATAGTTAGAACAGGACAAACAGCATACCATTTTACCACTGGTATGAAGTATGTAAGCATGTCCTTCAAGCCTCACCTTCATCAAAGCATCTCAACAAATTTTGTAATGACAAAATCACTTCCACACTGGGAAGCGCTTATCTAAAGCAAACTTTACCTAGATCAGTGTGTGGTTGAGGTATGTGATTGTAGAGAAAAGCAAATGCCTAGGAAGATGTTAAGTAGCAGGGAAAGCATACAGCAATAATTTCTCACCATACTCTCCCAGGCTCTACCAGCTTACTGCTCTGGGACTTCCTGAACCAAGAGGAAGTGTCTGAACTTCATTGTTTTCAGAGGTATTTTTTCTTAAATCAACAATATTCTGTGATTCTGTGATTCACAATTCAAATATGTGTTGAATGAACAAACTCCATCTTTTGATTGATTGATTGATTTCACACTCCTTCATCTTCACAAAGTAGCCATACATTAAATTGTTGTATTCCCAATAAATATACAGGGAACAGGAAGAAGTTAAATGATTTCTCCAAAATTATAGTTAGTCAAAAATTGCTATCCACTGAACCCAGAAGTGCTGACTTCCTAGCCAAAGATTAGGCAATCTTGGAGTGTTTTCTCAGGAAAATAGCTATGCGATGGCAAAACAAAACAATCCAAGGAATAATGAGCAGATTTGCTCATTTGAGAAATGAAACAGTGCATGTATTTAATAATCATGAGCTATTATAAAAAATACCAAGAAATATTAGGTAACACCATTATAAGTCCAAGTTACCATATTAACTGGTGTTCCACCACTGTTTGCTGCCTTAGCCTTCACTGTACTAAGATCTATGCTCAGCAGCCTTGCAAACAGTCAGAGGGAAGATTTAAGCTGTAGTTCTGACATAGGCTCTGTTGTCAAAAGGCATGTCATAGATATAAGGGTGGCTGCAGTGTTAACTAACTAATGGTCAGTTCAATACACTCTTCCAAGTGTGTGACTAATCTAGACAGCAGAACTGAGTCTTCATCCCTGCAACAAAAGCTTGGTGACACAAGAGACAAATCCTGTCAATGAGAACTATAATTATGATATTGGGAATATTGCTTTGGATTTAAAATTTTAACTTTACGTCTTCCTAGGAGGTAAGTTTTTCTTTTGTTCTTGCCATACGAGTACCTTTATATTTAAAAGAATGCAGTTTGCAGAGAAACGACAAGGAAATAGAATTAGAAATGAGAAGGTTTTCACTTACTGACAACGTTAGCTTGTCCAGTGAAGATGGTGTACTGAAGCTCGTAAGAGACCACACTGAACTCATCATCTGATGTCCAGTGGACAGTAATAGTATCATAAGAAGCTGTACAGAGCTCTTCTCGAATGGTGGGAGGGTTGGGAGCTGTGAGATACAACAGAAAAGGCTTACCAACACAATCAATAAAGTATTTCCATCTCACCTCAGATTAGGGCATGCATCTGACGTATAAATTTGCAGCAATACCATCCAACGATTTTTTCAAACCTTTTACTAATTCCAATAACGACTTAAATTGTTAATAAACTGTTGCTAAGGAATTCTTACTATCCATATAGCCATCTAAGAACTCATTTGAAAACACAAAAACAACTTGTATTGAACTAATTTTAAGATGCCATAGCAAAAATTATACGATGATGGCCACAGTAAACTGTTACTGAGTGTGCACAATTAATATGTTTGTTTTACTAGGTTTGTTTCTGATCATCAAACTAAAATTATCAAAGTTTAATTGATGTAAATATCAATAGGGAGAGTCAACAATCTTCACTGTTGACTTGAAAGCAGTGTTTGCTTGGCTTATCTTAACAGAGATTAGCTTAAGTGGTATTTAAGAAATAGAAATCTGGGAAAGACTCCATTTTTTCACACTCAGTCTTCTCTCCATGTCTGTTTTTAGTTATTTATTAACTATCCCTTTTAATATAGATGCAAATGATTTCTGTTGGCTATACATTCACTATTTTTCAGTTTTATTCAAAAGTTCTTATCATAGCATCATGGCTATATAACTGCTACAGTTAAAATTCAATATCATTGCTAATTAAATAATTATAGAACCACATTTTAATAAAAAGTTGTCCCTCCATTTCATCTTTTTAAATCAACAAATAAGTTTGCTACAGTTTCTCTGTGTAGGAAACTCTGGACGTCTTCTTCCACATTAATGCACAGATTTGATTTAAAGATCTGTTTCAAGACTAAAACTTGAAGCAAACCCTGTAGGTAAAAACTTTCCTGGTTTGCTCTTTCTATAAAGCCAAGCACCTATGTAAGAAAGAAATGAGTCTTTCTCTGGGCCTTCCTGCCTGCTTGTCTCAGTGGGAGCCTAATTCCTAATCATCTTCCCTATATGCCATCATCACGCAAAAAAATAATTCTTGTGCTTAATAGCATTCCTCCCAGCTGTCACAGAGTGAGGAAGGAGGGCACTCAAGCTGAAGCAATCACAATATGTCTGAATTAAAGGAAAAGGAAGGCAACTCTGAATGGTATTTTTGCTGTCAGTTCTTTAACTTCTGTTAACTGCAAATAATGGCCTCAAAGGAAAGTCAACCTGAAGGAATTCCTCCTTTTCTTTTGCAGCAACTTATTTTACTGAGATATCTATTTTGCCTTCCATTAAGAATTTTTATAGCTCATATTCCTGGTTTACTGATGTATGTTCCCAAGGCTTAAAATACAGATGCATTTGCAAGCAGCCTCTTTCAAGCAAAGGGCATAAGGAAATGTTCAAATGTGTTTAGTGATATGACTGTGATTTGTGATGCTCTAAATCTTGTAGCATGGAAGCTTACCAGTGACTTTTCTCAGCAGAGGAACCCTTGAGACAGATGGATATTAATAAGGAAAGAGAAAGAATTGAACTAAAATAAGAACAGTCATCTCAGGAGGGGGATATCAACAGAAGGAGGATTTCTTTGAAAACCAAATGTTAGTAATGAACTAAAGTCTTCTCCAATCTTCTCCTGAGCCTAACAGAACAAAACAGTATTTGCAAATGCACCTGTTATTACTACAATATAGATAATGAATATTAACTTAGTGGAAAGCAACAATTGCCAACTGCTAAACGAATTGTAAACTGGATTTCAGTAGTATCTAAGTCTCTCTACTCCTTTGAAAATGACAGCCTTGATACTTTCTTTATATGCACACCTGGTTGGCCTTACTGAAGACTGGAGATTTATAGGCCTTCACATAACGAGAAGGACAAGAAATAAAAAAGAACCTGAACAAGACATATTTTCTCTTTCTTTTTTTGATTAACCCACACACAATTGAGACCACACTGCATGAAACTCGGCTCTTCAACAGCACTCATTTAATAAACTGTTCAGAATAAAACAAAACACACTTTCCCTGCAGACTGACAGGAAAATCTGCATGTAAACAGTAGTTTTAAACTTTCAAAATAATGTAGAAGTCAGATTGTAAAATACAATATCCCACAAGACATCCGCCTCTGAAGGGTGTGAGTTCATAAAGTGATTGGAGAGATTGGCCTTTAATCACTTATCCTCACTATTACATTCACCAGTACTGCTGCAGTGCTTGGTTTCCATCAGGGAAGCTCAACGGAGTTCAGAACAACCTCAAGACACCCGCATCTTTCCCATGGCCCTGACTAGGGCACACTCCATCACTGCCCAGGAATCGGGATTCCAGTACAGCAGAACACAGCAAAGGAAAAGAAACCCTAATCAGTTCCGCCCAGTCACAGTGTTGCAAGACATACAGCCTCTTAATCCACTTCAGAAGCAGTGATCATACAAGAGCACTTCCAGCCCCAGGTTGGATGTGGCTATGGGTAGCCTGGTCCAGTGACTGACAACCCTGCCCACAGCAGGGGGGTTGAAACTAGATGATCTTTGAGGTCCTTTTCAACCCAGGCCATTCTACAATTCTATGATTTTAGGGCGAGAATGCAGTACTGACTCACAGTCATAACAAAACCGAAGCTTGACAGCTGATGTTCTTAATACCATTGGACATTTGCAGCCTCCTGTCTGCCAACTGCTATCTGATGTCAGGGAGTTAAAAAAAAAAAAACATGTGAAGCAGCTATTGAACACCCCACATTTACAGTCTTGAGTAGTAAGGAAACCTGAAATCAGCAGCAGCAGACTTTGCAAGGCACAAATAAAGTTACAGCAGTTTAAAAAACTGCTTCCAAACATCTTTAGTTCTTCTTGGTCATAGCATGGAAGTCTCCATAAGAGAACCAGGGCAGACATCTGGCTGTCTGTCCAGTCACCGCTTCAGTCACTCTGACTTTCATACACCTGCATTTATGAATCAACACTCCCAGGAATGAAAGCTATTGCCAAAGGCTGCTTTAGTCCATTTGTGTGACTTCAACTCAAAAACGCAGAGACATATTTAAATAGTCAGGAATCATGTCTGAGGTGCCTGAAAGGTAATCACTAACCTTAGCAAAGCAGTTCTTTAAATTTACTCCTAGAAATAACAGAATGGTTATAGAATACAGAATGGTTTAAAGATCACCTGGTCTTAACCCACCTGCAATGTGTAGAGACACCTTCATCTAGAGCAGGTTGCTCTGACAAAAGGAATATTAATATCGCTGGATATGGAGGTGAGGAAGCTGCTCTGAATCTCTCAGCTGTTAATTACTGCCTCCTTGATATACCATGATACCAGACTGAAACAATGTGAAAATAACTTGAAAGGCACAGTCACATCACATTGAACGTACTACTAACATGCCAGACATGAACTGGCAGCTAGAACTCAGCCAAACCACCATGTATGCGTGGTCTTTGGGAGGGGAACTTTGGGGGATCTTTGGGGACTGGAACTATTCATGAACAACTGAATGGAAAGAGATTATAACCAAAGGATGGGACTGAGTTGGTTGAAGAATGGCTTTACTCTTTTAATAGTAAAAGTAAATTAGAAGGAAGGACAAGTTGCATGGGTTTCAAGAATGAAACTGTTTCCATGTGAAAAAAATCCTGGCATACACCAGAAAACGCATATTTGTTAGTGCAGTTTTAACTAAAGAGATGGATGAAGAAAACGTATCGTTTCAGATGGGATTTCTGAAGCAGGGAAAAGTGCAAGATGAAAGGATAGATGTTGCTGCAACTGATTTCACAGCATTATAACATAAGAAAAGTATTTCTGATTCACAATGGATAAAAATGTTCCTACCTCAACAACACTATGCAGAGAATTTGCAAGTCACAGGCAGTGGTATCTAGCTAGACACATGTTAAGGAAAAAATGAGTTCCAGATGAAAAGCCTGAGCAACTGGCAAGATAGAATACTTTCAAAAGACATTCAGACTACAGATACCAAGGAAGAAACAGTCAGAGGAAGATTAAGGGTATTGTTTTACTACGCTGAGCTTGACATCTCAATGTTGAGCTGGCAACTTTCAGAGAGAGAGCAGAGATTTTTATTTGGATAGCAGAAGCTTTGGAATGACTGAAAGAAATAGCCTAGGAGGAAAGAAGGATTCAAGTTTCAATGTGCCACACAGAAAATGGCTTGTGAAGATGGAAGATGAAGATCTGATGTATAGCACACTGGGGAAGAAACAAAGAAGAACATCTCCAGAAGATACCTGTGGTCAACTGCTTTGAAAGCAATTGACGGCAGAGAGAATGAGGTTAGAATTCAAGCTTTGACATTTTGTTCAGAAGCTGTACAGATGTTAGACGTAATGTAGGCATTCACTCCTAACGGGCAACAAAGATGTATTGCTAGGACTTGCAAATGGTCTTTATTTTACCTAACTGAAACATGATAAAGGTAAAGCCCAATTCACTCTGTCACTCAGATTTCAACATAAAATCTACAAAGATTGCATTCATCAATCTGAAAGGAGAAAATAACACAAACGTTCCTCTAGCATTTCTGAATAATAATAGAGAAGAATCAAGTGCATTTGACTTTCAGGGTTTTATATATATACACATACACATACGCATTACATATACACAGATAATGCATTACACATAGACACATTTACATAAATATTTCTCAAGTCTGAGTCAGTCACATTTTATGTTCAGTTAATTCAAACATGTTTTGGAATTTGGCATTGCAACCAGATGATATTCATTAATTTGAAGAAAAATAGTAAAACATAGGGCCAGCTAAAAATGTTTTTCACTCAGCATCAAAGGCAAGGATGAAAACGGTAGATTAGTGTAAAGCAGCTTAACAGCTTGATATACTGCAATATATGTATTTCTCCTAGACTGGATTGTGATAAATTTTTCAAGACTGTGAATGAGGTAGGAAGAAGGCACAGAAGGAGCACAGCCAGTATGATGGGTCGCAAAAGGAATCCTTGTGGCACTGACTGAATACTGCAGCAAGACTGCCCTTCATTTTGGAACAGACACATCCTTCATTTTCTGCACTGCACAGCAATTAGACTGGTGATATTGACATGTGATGTGCGAAGAGATGAAGATTGGGGGATGGGGGAACAGACTGCTAAGTGCATTTCGTCTCAAATACCTTCAAATATCAAAACCATAATTATCTACTTTTGAATGAGACTTTCTAGCCTTTGTTTGGAGCCAATTAGGAGAAATAGGCACCTCCAGAATAGTCAGTTGTGTGGTATACCTGACTCAAAATGAGGCGGATTTTCCTCTTCTCTGACGATAAACAATTTGAGGCCAATTATTCTACAGGAGATTCTTAGGTTCACGCAAATGAGTCTGGCATTTTTGTTAACCTTTCCTTTCATTTGTCTTTTTACAACCTTAGGGTGAGCCCTCAATTTTGGTGCAAAACTTCAACAGACATTGGGGGGAGAGGCAATGAAGGGAAAGCCAGACATCTTAACATTTAACCGGTAGCAACTGGACAAAAAAAAAAAAAGTAGCAAGTAACTTTCACCAGAGTTTTGATTATTATTTACTTGAGTATCCTTCATACACTGACTGCATTCACAAGTTACACAGTGATAGAGAAATTTCTTGCAGAAAAACATTGCTCATTCAGATATGGTAAGATCTCCACAGATCTACTCTGCTACAACTCTGTGCACGCAGACAGCCTTGTTTCTCTTAGAAGTCATTTAATCATTTATTCCGCTTTAGATAAGCCAGAAATGAGCCCTCTGCATCTCAAAAGATTCCATGTTTGGCCACGAGGAGACTCCATGCTCCTGCATTCTTCTGAAATAGCAAGAGTACATTTCCTGCAATCTGGGCAAAGAGAATGGGCCCACGTAGAGTTTTCAAGTGTTTTTCTAACAGTGCTTTTTGCTTTTCCTTGCAAATTGTGACTATTAACAGAAGATTCTTAAAGACCTTGCAAAATGAAAACCCACGCCCTGTCTCCTCTGTTTTCAATTGAAATGGAATGAATTGTTCTAATTCTGGCACTGAAATTAAAACATCCTAAATTACAGCAATTTGTTTCTCTTTGTGAGTCATTATATACTCTGAGACTGCACATGACTCAGGCCATCAATAAGAATTCAATCCTGCAGGAGTCAACAGACCAAAGCTCTCAGCTAACTCTGCAGAGCAAACTGCATGCTCCCCAGCTCCAAACACAGCATGGTTCTCCAGTTATGTGATGGGGAAAAGGCACAGTTGCTACAAGAAAACATTTTCCACTACTAAGCCCTCCATGCTGATAGCTTGAATAGCTTCTGGTTGCCCAGGATATCTGCCAGACTGCAATCTGCTGCAGCGAGAAGGCAGCCCTAAGGGATAGTGTAATTCTTGGCACATCTGCCTCCTGGGAAATAGCACTGGGTCCCTGCTCCCCTTCCTCTGACTTGGGGCTGTGATTTGGGCCACTCCAGGCTGAGCTCCAGCTGTTCATTTATTTCACTCCTCTGCTGTGACTTTTAACCATTTCTTACACTTTTACACTTATCCACATCCTGGTGGGGAGGCAGTGAGAGGAATGAGGATGACAGAAATACATCCCTGTTGTGGCTACCTGGGGCACTCTGGGGCCGCTTGGGGTAAAATGTAAAGGTTTAAATGGGAGAGCAATGAAGAAAATCCTATCAATACTGCAGAGTGTTTTTTTTTAAATGAGAAATACATTAGTATATTGAGAAGAAAATTACCTGTAAGATAATCAAGGCATTCTAACAATTTCTTCTCCCTGGTAAAATCAAGTGCGAAAGTATCAAAAGTATCGTTGAGATTAATTTCAGGAATTAGAACCTGGGAGGATGCAGTTGCCATGGAAACCCTGTAATGAAAAGAAAAGATCTTTTAGCACATCCAAAGACACAATAGCTTCTACAACAAAGTAGGATCTAATCATCACGATCACTATGAATTCTTCAAAAGCTTGACAAATATTTTACAAGTATTTTATTTATACTGGCTGTCAGGAGTTTCTCCTGCCACTTTTACTTTTGGAAGAAAAGTCTCCAGGAAACATCTCTTGGTACTTAGCTTTTGTCTAATGTGCAGTATTAGATAAGTTTTTAATGAAATACAGACTGAGCAACAATATACTTATAACTGTTCCTGCCAGTCACCTCTGAACCAAAGTAGCACTAACAAAATTTTTATCTGTGTTCTAAGCAATTCTGACATATGCTGCATCTCTTCCAACCCCCTTTTTTCCTAGGCAGTTTCTTGCTACAGGCATTCCTTCACAGTGCTGTCTCAAGGGCTTGCTGCAGATCACCACACCTCCTCAGCTGCTTAGCACAGCAGACTGCTGCTAAATTCAAAAAGCACAGGGGAAGATAAAACCAACAGATGTCAGCACAGTTTATTTTGAAAAGCTTTTCTCTGCAAAGCATGTGTGCATACTTCCTTCAAACTAAAGGGTTTCCTTGCCTACCTCATTTCAGGAGCTACATCCACTTTTTGTTTGTCCACCAGCAAGAACGTTAAAAAAAATGAACTTTCAGAAGAAAGCTGCCAACAGGATCTATTTTTTGGATCCTCCAACTTGCCATCCTAAAACATTTGTTACTGCATAGCTGGATACTGGAAACGCACACAGAAAACTTAGGAGAGAATTCTGCAAGGTTATTAAACTTTGCGTTACACAACAGAAAATTGTTTTGGTTTGGAGGTGAACACAAAACCATGAGCACAATATATGTCCCTTATCTGTCAGTCACAAGGTGTCAGGTCAAAATGTTTTGACCTCTTCAATTAACACTGTTGCAAATTGGAGCATTTCACTGTAGATGAGACTGAAGTAGTTCACCTGCAGTTGCAGTTGTGCTGTTGTGCTTTTAGATCTAGCAGAGAAACAAGACACATGCTTCTTGTAGGGCAGACTCAGCCTGACTCACACCTCCAAAAAATCAGCAATAACCTTACTAAGAAACCAGCAAGCAGGTATGTAACGTGAAAAGTTTCTCTGAAGAAGACTTTATCATCAAGCTCTTTTGGGACAATAAAGAGAATGCACGGTGATTAAGCGTGTTGAAGTCAATTTTTGATGGTTCACCATTTCAAAGATCATTTTAGATTCAGAGAAATGAATTTTTTCTTGCACTTTCTACTTGTTTCATCTGACACTGTACTTGGTTGGAGAGGGGTTTTCTAGGATAAATCCAGTTCACCCATTATAAATAACCCATTACATAAGTCACTGTAGTGTGTATGATGCCTTTGCTATACATAGTTACCTGTTGTGCTTACAAAAGAGAATATTATACTACAATTACTTTGAAATACATGAAGAAATGTAACAAGCATGGTTTCAGAAGACTGTTTCAGCTCCAGGAGTTCAGGACTCCAGTGAGAGTAGTCTGAGTGCAAATAAAACGTTGCTCACCACATATGAACTAGGAAACTTACTTGGGAAAAATAACTTTTTTTTTTTTTTTTTTTAAACTCTTTTTCTATTTGTAATTTGTCTGCAAGCACCTGCTGGTTTTCCCTCCGTTCTTATTCATTGCTTTAATGATTTGTTGTTTTGCAAGACGTTAACAGCCACCTCATTACAGATAAACAATCTGTGATAGCCAAGAACTAGATTTGATTGGACACATATGTCAGCTGGTCTCATTTCTGTTCTCTAAGCATCACTCCTGTGACTCTTGTATAATCAAGGGATATTAAGATGTTATAATCACAAGAGAGTTAGGCAAAATAGACTAGGACAATAAGGAGAATAAATGGAAGGCTTACCTACAGAAAGCACCAGAAGAAGGGATCTCCAGAAGACATCCTTCCCTGCTGGTAGCCAGCTCTTAAACAGGTCTAGGAGGGGTGCAGCCAGGCTCCACCCCTTCCAGCAGTACAGGTGAATTGCCTTCACCTGTGCTCCTATGGCTGACTCATGGCTCGCCTCAGGTGATCAATCAGGGGTTCAGGCCGTGACTCAGCAGTTCCCATACAGACTCTATTTATGATGCAAGTGTTCATTTCAACAAGTTCAAAATGGAGCTTTTCTGAATGTCCTCTGATAGTCTGTTAGAAAGTTTTGTATCTCCCTACTGCTTATTCCATTGAATACTGAATAAAGGCCCTACTCTCTCCTTCAGCATTTTCCTCACAGCACTCATGTATATTCTGCAGTAGTTTTTTTATCAGCTTCACCCGGGAAAAATCAGTAGCACAATATATCATAGTGATAGAATACAAAATAGGATCCAAGTCTGACAGATCAAATTGAATCCACTGTCTTGCCTTGCCCTTCTCAGCAAAGTTTCTATTCTATGAACTTGTAATGGGAAACCCAGTGTTTCTGGTTTGTATGTAAATTGATTAAAACAGCTTTGGTGAAAATAGATATTCTAGGAATCTGCATACAGTGCTCTAGAGTAAGTTGACTGGCTTGAAAGCAAGGAATGTCATGATCTGGACCAGGTCAAAATTGGCTGGACATTGTGAAGGTACAATGTGAACTCAAGATATTTTTTTTTAAAAAAAGCAAAATTAAAAAGCTGAATGAATTAAGATGCTTCATATTGTTGTCTTAATCATTGTCACAGGTACATGCTCCTTCTTTTTGTTTCTCTTGCTAATGGCTAAACATGTCCTGAATTGGAAAGGACCCATAAGGGTCATCAGGCCCAATTCCTAGTTTTGTTACCTTGCTCCTTGCTGTTTTGTAAGACCATGTCAAATTTCTCCTAAGGAAACACACTTGCTCCCATATTTCTTTCTGAATCTATGAACTTTTCTAACTGTTCTAATACTTATTTCACTCCCTTTCTTGACTACTTCTCTTTTCAAAGGGATGTTTTGATTTAGCATTACAGCAAGGTCTTTCTTCATCTGGTACAGCACAAAGTGGCGTTACTGGGGAATGCAGCAACTCATCCTTCCTTCTTTGACCACATTATTACAGTGGTGGAACAAAGCAACACAGCCACCTAACTGCCTGAAATTGAGGTTCTCCTGTTTATTGAGAGGAACATATTTACCTTTCGGTGATGTTTTTAGCAGTTTGTAGGAAGCGAGCGTGATCATTCTCCTTCAGCGACTGCTCAGCCTGAGAGATGAGGGACGTCGAGCGCTCAATGCACTGTTTGCAGTTTGCAATCTGCTGAGCCAGTTTTCTCAACCTCACCACCTTGTGCGGAAACATAAGAAAGCAGTCACTTCTCTAAGGTCACAAATCACTATTACTTTTGCACTTCTGAGGCAGAACTGACATGGAAAGGGGGACCCAAGACAAATGGCCTCCCTGACAAGAGCTTCTTTCACACACAGTTTGATGGTGACTGCCTTCCACTAGCCACAGAACATTTTAAATCAGGGGACAGGCACAGCCTTCATGCCTCAAAATTTTCCATGTGGAAAACAACAGAGGAGAGCCAAAACAAGCACAGCTGGCTTTCCTTCCAACAGAAGAAACGTCATTTCCTGGTACTTTCTGCTTATATGATAACTAAAGGGTATTTAGATAACCATTTTCCTGAAGTGAAGAGATCAGTCTCAATGGCAGCTTACAGATGGCATACTTTTTTTCCATATTACTGAGGTAAATTTCATTAAAAAATCATCCAAAAATAAAATTTGAGAAAAAAGGATCATTAATTTCTACCAACAATACGTCTGCCATTTTCATTACAAGCTCTTAGTCAAACAAGGTGGTTTTTGGGGGGGTATTTTTAACAGGACAAAAGCACAGTAGTACTGAAGAGATTATTATTATTACTGAAAACATATGTGCTGGAGATAAACACAGTAGATGTGACTGTAATCACTAGCTGAAAGGTTAGGGAGGGGCACAGTCAATTCCCCATTTAGAGACAATGTTGGCTAACAAAATTAATAGTTCCTGAAAGGTCTGGGAGTCCTTCCCGTTGCTATCACACCAGGATTGCTGCTACTTCATAGTTTGAACGGGAGTAAGGAAAAGGAAGGAAATGAAATAATCTGAAGTTTAGAAAGGCATTAGGACTCAGTTACCAGAAAAAAATGAGGAAACTAATAAGTATGTGCATTAGCAAAAAAAGTGCAAACTTATAATCATGACAGAGTTCTAAATCTTGGGAATTATGGCATAAACTTTGAAGCTGTTGAATGTAATTTCAGATATAATTGTGACAGGAGTTATGACTTTCTAAGCAGAGATGAATGTATCTTAGTGCTCCTACATGACAGTTAAAATCTGCTGGAAAAAAACATCTTTTGGAAAACTTTCAAAAAGAAATCACTGTCTAAACAATTTGTGTTCTGTAACATTGGTGTTTCTTTTAAGGGTAGAAGAAATAAAGATAAAAATGCAGGAAAAGCATACAGATTTTGAGATTGCCACTGATCTGATCAGGCTTTCTCCTCACAGTTCAAAGTGTTCAGGCACCCAATGCCTTGGAAACCCTTCCCTGAGTTCCCTCCAGTTTGTTCCAATGTCTTTCTGTGTTGGGGCTCCAAACCTGGATACACTAACTAGATGGGGCTATTAAAGTGCTGAGCAAGGCAGAGAATCTCTTCCACTGATTTATGATTTACTGGTTGTGCTTTGTTGATATGGCTGGTGTTGGTGGTTTTATTACTGTTGATTTATGTTTAGAGTGTTACACATCTAGATGTACAGTTACACTGAGGAAGACTCAATAATTGAAGTACTTTCACAATTACTTATCTGAATAAGGGAACAGTATTTAGATCTCAGCTTTTCATACACTGGGAGGTGGAGATAGATATCGGGAATGGGAATGGTTCAACTGATTGTTCCAAGGATAAGAAAATACTTTTTCTAATTGTGCATTTAAGCAGAGATCACAATTTGGCTACACCAGTCTAACCAGAGAAAGGTACACTGCAGTAATTGGTCACCTCTTCATTTAGGTATTAATAATAAAAAAAAAAAAGAATGCATGAACTGATACAAACATTACCTTGTGAACTTTTAGCATTTAGAGGACATGCCATGAGTTTCAAGGTCTACATATAAACAATTTTTTTGTTGTTTACTTGATTTTTCTTTAAAACTTAAAAAGACAACTGGTCATAAACATCTAAAGGAAGAGTGTCCCCTCCCTCTGTCCACAGTGGCAGGAATGACCTCTGCACTAAAATTATCTTCTCTATTTAAGTGTTCTTCCTGCTAAGCGCTCAGTCAGGTTTTATAGGTTTTAGGTGATAAGTGAGATTAGCGAAGGAGCTGCACTCCATTGTAAGACTGGTATGTCTGAATGTGCAGCCCTGCAGTCTTAGCTAGAACTATATTTGAGTATTTCCATCGTTGTAGCCTTCACTATCATTTCCAAGAAAAATCTGCCATTCTTTCCCTTCCAGAAAGACTACAGAGAGAAGTCACTGCTTGCTTTAAAAGAAGGTACCTGGAACTGAATTTCTGTGGTTTTTCAGATTTTCTGGCCATTAGAGAGCTCCCTGGACATGTAATCCTTAGCAAAGTTTCATGACTGTTAAGGTATTTACGTAATTACTCAGAAAAGACTAGCCTGATTCTCACATTAAGAGCAGATTAAGAACTAATCTTAATTGTCCATCTAGCTCAGCATCTCATTTAAATAGGCCAGTAGTGGAGGCACCGTCTAGGACCGTCTAGGAAATAACACATTCTCAGAGGACTGACTCAGCCAGCAGCAATTTGTGGCTCATGGATGTCCTGAGCCTGAAGTGGCATTGCAGCATTTAATTTTGCAGTTTTGTTATTGTTATTGCTGTTTTTGTTCTCTGACTTTTCTTCAGTTTGCTTTTCTTTCATGAGTTAGTCCATAAGACTCTTGACTCCATGAATCTTTCACCATCTACAGCATTCTGAGGAAACACATTCCAGACCTAAACTGGTCTTCCATTGGTACCACTTTTTGATTAAACAAAGTAAAACAAGGAATGGGGTTATATTCTGGTATCAGCAATATTCACATACATTTGGACATCAGAATACATGTTCACAAGCAGTCAATTTTTAAAAAGTAACTAATGTAGCATAAATCCAAAATAAGGGAAAGACTTCTACTTCATTGAATGCACAGCTGGTCTCAATACATAAGGGAACACAGTTGAAACAATAATTCAAAAGGCCATCATTTCCATGTAGTAGGGAATTATATTTTGTTAACAGCATGGGGAAATTCAGGTTCTGTCACACAATGTACAGGACCCACAGTTTCAAACATGTTTAAGTCAGCCCTTGCCTACAGGCTTTTCATTTCAAGTTAATTGGAATAGCTTGACAGCTGAATGAACCATTTAACCTGCTCTTGACTTTGTTCCTTTCCTGAGTCTTTCCCACACAAGAAGAGTTTATATTTGACTTGGTTATTTTAGCAGTTAAAGAGTAAACACCATGTACCAAGCAAATAAGAATGTTAATTCGACTCTAATATGGTTCTGAGTTAACAGGTAGCTAGCTCAATGTGTTGAAACTTGAATATCAGAGATTCTATTGCTCAGTATGTTTGCCATGAATAATCATCATAACTCAGTAATTAGAAATGTGTAGCAAATACTGTGGCACTTTGTGAAAGTGAAAATTTTGGAGATAGGCTGTTAGGCATATAGCAGAGGGAAGGAAGCATTTTATTATTATTCACCGTCAGTGATATTATTTCAATGTTTATCCTTAAAAATTATAATTGTGTGTAGGAAGAGAAATACTAAATAAAGTGTTTAAGTCTGACATCCTAACCTTAGCTGATTTCTTTCCTCTTTACATAAAAAAAATAATGGCCCAGGACTACAGAGGGAGACTTACAAATTTTTAAGTACCTGAAGTCAAAAAGCTGTAAGCATAAAGAAGTAATGTTGTTTCCGTGATATAAAGAAGAAAAGCTGTTACCTTTCCTTCCTTGATTTTGGTTCCAATTATTTGTCGTCTCTGTTGTATTATTTCAATAAGCTGGTCACATTCTTCCATCAGCTTGGTTTCTTGGCGAGATGCGTTCACCTGCAAAGTAAACCATGTTGATCTTATTTCTAATTCAAGTGAGAAAAGCCTGTTCCTCTGATGACAGAGTGATGTCCCTTATGGCCGACAGTTGTTAGACATGAAAGCTCTTCAGGAGGTGGAAAACAAATCACAGACTGAAGAATTAAATAGGACTGCATGAATATTCATGCACGTAAGAGTACAAGTACTGGATGACACGTACCTCTAGTACAGTATCCCGCCTCCATTAGCTGCTAATGCCAGCATCTGCTAGCAACACGTCTTAAGAAAGCCAAGCATGTTTGGTGCTTCCCAAGAATACTGCCTCATACTCTAACCAATTTCAGCCCAGAATCATCTTGAACTAGAAACAATTTTTACATCATTATTAATCCCCATAAGCGTTATCTTCTGTGGATCTACTAGATTACTGGTTTATCCACTTGTAGGGCTTATTCTCCACACTGAAGAGTCTGAGATGATTCAGTTTTTCTTCGCACAAAAGCCATTTCATACTTTCAACCATTCTTGTTTCCTTCTCTGAAACTTTGCCAGGTCTACCATCTCCTTTCTGATATGAGAAACAGAACTACACTATATGCTCAAAGTGCAAACTGTGGAGTTATACAGTGACAATGTATGTTCACTACTTTGGCTTCCTTGATTCCTAATGTTCGATTTGCTGAATTTAGCATTTGAAAACATAATAATTACTTTCAGTGTCCATGTAGTCTGTGAAAGATTCAAGTAACCAGAGATCCAAGTGACATTACTTAGTCATGTGTATGGAATGTCTTCTTTATCATTGCTAATTTGATGATAAATCAGAATATAATAACTGTGCTGATGCAGACATAATATGAGCTGCTCAAACTGCTGTTAGCACCAAAAAAAGCAACAAAGAATACTAGTTTTCTGTGGAAAATGTTGACTTTCTGTCAAAAAATAAGCAAACTTGAAATAGAAAAGTTTTGTTTTTCAGATGAAAATGCTTTGTTTCTGAATGAGACTGATTTCTTTCAATGGAAAGTTAACATTTTGTATGACAAGCAAAATGTACCTCCCCACCAGTAGTACGTATAGCTTAAATAAGCAGCTTACGGAGAAATAAAAAAGGTGAAAAGTCCTAATCATATCTACAATGGAGAAAAAATAGAAGGAGTGATTTCAGAATTGAGCTTCCATACTCACTTAGCAAACAGGGTAAAGCAGCCCTCTGTCCTGGCCAGTTTCTCCTAGAACTACACTAATCACCTTTTCCATTGCACTAGTAGAGCTAGTGGTGAACCAGAACAGGGAACAGTTCCAGGTGAAAACTAACTCTATTTCCCCTCCTTGGTTATTTTTTTTCAGTCCAATCAACACTTTGATCTGTCTCAGCTTTCTTCTTTTTTCTTCCAACAATGTTTTTAAACATGCATTTACCTGTAAGCATATTACAGAGCTCATTAAGATTAAGCAAATACCTACGTGTCTAAGTTTGGGCCAGGACCAATTTTATAAATACCTTCTAATATATAACACATTGTATCCTCTGGGCAAAAAGGGGACTTGTTTACAAAGACCTGCTTTCATTAAGAATTTGGATTATCTTCCTCAAATCTTTATAAAGTTAAAATTTAGTTGCATATTTCATTGGTTTAAATATTAATTATGCTGTCAGGGTTAAAGAGAAAATAAATTCGTTTCTGGAAGGGAATAGATGGTACTGAAAATTCTGAAGAATGCTGTGCGTAGCACAGAAGTAGAAACTGAAGAAGTAGAAACCATGCAGTTTTAGGGTGCCTATTTATTTACTCACAACAGCAATGTCTTCCATCTGGCTTCCAGTTAGAGTCCATGAGTAGAGACAGACCATGGAACAGCTAACCCAAAGCCTCTGACAGTGCACACATCTCTCCACTGATGGCTTACGGAGAATCCAGAAATAATCAACCAAAATATCAGCCTCATTGAAAAGCCAAAATTGGGTTGTGTAAAAGTTGTCCTTCCAGCTCTACCACTTACCATCATCCCACCAGACCAGCTGTGTAACACCTGGTCAAGCACTGTACTTTGGTGTGAACTTGTGCAGAGCTGTTTTCAACAATGTGTCCAACACAAAATTCTCCCCTGCACCTATTTCACCCATTTCATTGGTGGACTGAAATTCCACCAAGGTGGTGAATCTCAAATGGGCTCAGTCAAGGGGCAACGATCCCATTCACTACACACGGATACAACTCTTTTTACTTCAATAACAAGGTTTGTTCATGCTTGTGCTGACTTTGGCATTGAATTACTGTAACATTTCACAGGATTTTTGAGTAGCTTCCACTCAAAGTGTTACTTCTATCACAACTTATATCATGAGTGTGTTTTGTATGGTAGACCTCAGTAGTATTTGGGGTGACTTTCATGATAGAGAGAGTTCAGAAAGGTTAAGTCAGCAGTGTTTCATTAATGCCCAGATGGTTTAAAAAATAAAGTACTAATTAAATTTTAAATTAAGAAACTCTAGACTAAGAAAAATGAAATGCTTGGAAGAAAACTGAATTTCTTACACACTGTCTGCAGACTTCACTTTTTCCTTTGAAATCTGGAAAGTGTACTCATTTATAAACTTCATTTGAAGACATTTCCAATGTTATAGTTTGCATGAGCTTATTAAAACTGGAAGGAATATTTCCAAAACTATTTTATATGTCTGAGCCTTACATGAAAAAAGAAAACAACACTTAATTTGGGGGCTTTTCTCAAGCTGAAATACTCCTTAATCAAATTTTCAGCCTAGAAGGCCTCTGAATCAGTAATAACTTCATAGTTGAGCACATGCCTAATTTTAAGTGCAGCATATTACCAATGGCCCTAAAGGGACTACTTGTGAGATTAACACTGAATATTATTTATTTGTGTATTTCTGAGGAGTCATATGTCAGACCAAAGAGCCAGAGGCATGGAACAGGGCTCTGCTGTACAGGTGCTACAGAAATACCAGAATAAGACTTTGCCTTCTGCTTGAGTCCTTTGATGAACAGCAACCTTGACAATAACTTCCAGCTGGGACTGGCCAAGGAATGCAAGTTCTGTCTGATGAAAACATTTGAGGTTTTATGTTTTATATTTTTCCCACATTAAAAACAAGCCCTCTTTCCAAAGAGTTCATTAAAAAAAGGACTCAGTCTCATTTGAAAAGTCCAGAGGCTGTGTCACTGACTTGGGTTGTGGGAGGCTCTGAATCATGCAGAGAACAGAAATCAATTCTGTGTATCCTCCATCCAGGATGAGTACCAGTTCTTAAATATAGGCTTTTCATTGTCCAAGAGTTTATGCTAGACTTGGAGACAACTTTCTGTTGAAAATGTCACTGATATCAACGCATATCTTAGTTAGTTAGTTAGATATCTTAGTTTTGGCATTAGAACACTCCTTAGAAATCCATAACTATCGTAAACCTAAAGTATCTTTTTCTGTTGGTACCATTTTAAAAAACTTCTCTTCCATACAACAAAACTTTTAAAAAACAGACTCAGAGACCTTGTTAGGATTTAGTGAAGTTATAACATTTTCCACAACAAAATAAACAAGAAAGGACTTAGTTTAGTCCTTTTGCTTTCATGGGTAATTTATTTCTACTTCCCAAACATCTTAATATTTCAAACAGCTAAAAAAAAACAGTCAGAGATCTTTCCAGGTTTTCCAGACAGATGGATACGGTCTAATGGCCTAAGCCTCAAGCAGTGGGTGTTAAACAATAGAGAAATAGGGTTTCCTCGCTTCTCTGACAGGGAGCTGGAAACCACAAGCCCTCCTGACCCAAAGGGGAAAGCAGGCCAGCTGCTCCCAGATCCACAAGCTGAGAACTGCATTGGAAAGCATTCTACTCTATGTTGAGGCTTCCCAGGCTTTCATCTTCAGAGACCTGAGTTAAATTGCAGCTTAGGTCATATGAAAATGAAAATGGTGGTTTCAAAGTCCCTAGCAGATGTTTGGGAAATCACAAAAACTGTAACGCTGCTAGTGGTTAAAGGTTACAGGAAAGCTTCTACGGTTAATTCAAAGGCAAACAGAGTGCCATAGGACTAAATTCATGCTATGAAAGCTAATATACCAGAATCAAAAGATATTTCAGTATCTCAGCAGACATTTTTTCCACAGGAGCAAAACTCCCCCTCTGGAATTCCTTATGGGTGAGGCAATTTTATCTGCAAGTGCAAATGCTTAAGTCTGTTGGCAAATAATCCCAAAATGACAAACAAAATAAGAGACTCTAAGAGGTTGCCTGCTTTTTTAAGACTGACTGGGATAAATTAATCAAAACCAGAGTAATTTTTATTCACTGGTCCTCCATTAGTTGTGCAAACTGAAGTAAAGTAGGTTGTAGAAAAATCTCTGGAAAGTGAGGTATGTGTTTAGGTTTTAGCTTTCCTAAAATGGTCTGCGTTCCTCGAAATGCCATAGGCATGGCCATCCAGGTAAGCAAAGAATATCAGCTTTTCTTTGTGAGTGTGAGTTGATGGTTACATAATTACTATTTATGCATAAACAAAAACAAGAGGAAAAAAAACAAATTGCATTAATTCTGCTAAACAACCAATACTTTATTGCCACATATTTCTTTCTTTTTACATTTTAAGCCTGACTTCCTAGCCAGGAATTCTTTCCTTTCATATCCCCATTTGATAACACAGGTTGTTTCATTTACTTTTGTAGAGCAAAAACAACTCTTAGACTAAAGCTTTTTCAGATTTTATCAACTCTAAGAGTAAAACTGATTTTATCTACTGTGACAAACAGTGCCTTTGGAAATATGTGATATTAATCAGCTTGCCATCTGAAGGGATCAACTACAACTGCTGTAGACTAAATTGGTGCAAGAGAAAGGAATGGCCATCTCCCATTTCAAGGTGCCAGAGGCTTTGTTTTTGTTTGCATTCTAAGTTTATCTCTAACCTGGGTCTAGAGGCAGTCTCAGAGCAGGTTAAACAAAGGTCAGCACAAAAGTACAGCAACTGATTCTGGCTACCTAGGAATTTGGT